ATGCCTTCATTTTTCTTAGCTCAATGTCTAAATCACGCGATGGAAGTTTTAAACAAAATTTAAGTACACATTTGGCTTTGAGATTGCTAGTGATGCTGCTGACCCAACCTTGTATTTTAACTGAAAACCCAGAAGAAGACTTCCTGCATTCAGTTGATAAACTGGGGCAGTTGATAAATGCAGGACATTGGATTTTTTGTGTTTACCCAGAACTGCAATAAATACTAGTAAAAAATGATAAGGAAAATTTCTGTTCAAATTAAGGATATTGAAGTTTGTGATATCAGTGTCATAAGAAAGCTTCACTTTAATGTGTTTTAAGTCTTGTTTCCTATGCAATTCTGTGTGTCAGGTGTCTTCATTACCAGGGGCTTTATTTTGCTCTAATATGATTCTTTGAAGGAGTACATGGACCAGAGGTGCAGAACCACTTCTATAACTGGTAGCCTAGTGCCAAGCCATTTTGACTTCTATGTATACACATACATATGTATATATATATATATATACACAGTTTAGGCCTAAAGCTATGTTTTTTAGGAGTTAATTATTATGAAGAAGAAAATGCTAAAATTACCAATCAAACAAAAAGAAGCTTTAAACCATCTGAAGGTTCATTTAATCACATAATGAATGCAAGTTTCCCAGGACAGGTGTTGGAATGGGTACCTGCATTTACCAGCACCTGCCACCACTTGCTTCCAGTGGTGCATGCAAAGTGCTGCCTTTCTAAAGCATGTCTTTGTCATAATGCCTCCTATATTCACAAGAACAGAGAAGAATAAAGAAGCATATGTTGGGGTTTTTCCTTCTCTACTGATCTCAGATTTATTATCATCTTCCCTTCTATTGTCAAATAATAACTGTATGTGGAACAGCAAGACTGGAATGTCCTGTCTATCGCAGGGTTTTCAGACTTGCAGTGCTTATTTCTGGGCCCCAAAATTCAGGCAGAAATCTAAAATCTGCTCAGCAAATAATCCAGATGCAATGCTGTGACTCATGGCTTAAGTTCCTGCATGGATCTGAGGATTGCATCTGGAAATCCAGGTGTGAGAGCAGGTGGTGGCCATGCGTCTCCCTGCTGTCACCTCCAGTATTCCCGGCCAGAGGAGGTAAGGAAAAGCAGGAACCAGGTGCAGGTGGTTTTGACTTCCTGGTCTGAGTGTTCCTGTGCTGAGAGAAGCGTGAGTTGTGCTGCTGTCCTTACACTCCACGGCCTCTTGTGGGGTTTGGCACCTCCTGCCTGTCCCTTCCCTTTTGTGCTGCCTGTCAGTGTGAGTGACAGTCCTTGGGGTATAAAAGGGAGGCAACTCTGTGCCTTGGACTACTAGGAGGATTTCTGAGGTTGTCTTATCTCTGCTCAGAGTATTTGCTGAGTGAAAAACTTCTTCCTGGCATGGCAAGTAGGTAAGAGAAACTTACACTAATTCTTCTCTGACACGAAGGGTGAAGGGGGTGGGATACATTTGTCTGGGAGAACATTATGTGACATGCAGCACAGCAATAGCCCTGCTTCCTCTTTTTATTCTGTTTTCTAACTTCAGTGTAAAAAATCAGTGAGACTTCTGAGCCATAAGCTGGTTTAGCTTAAAATAAAGGTGATGCTAAGATCAGATTTTGCTTAAAAATAGCTATAATGTAATGCAGAGATAATGTAGAGTTGCTTCTTCAAACATCACCTGCCTGCCTAGGACCTTGACAGACTGAGTAACTGCTGAGTGACTGCCCCCTCTTATGTTTGTTCCTTCACAATGCCTTTTCCTTTCCACCTACAAAACCTTCCTCACTTAAACTTTGGTATTTCAAATAACAGCTTTAAACGAAAAAAAAAAAACCACAAACTCACTGGACTCAAATAAAAGACATACACAGTAGCATAAGGGGAAAATGGAGATAATGGCTTCTATCCTCTATTAACCATATAAGCTGATGCATGCATTTCACAACATTGAACCCATTTTATAAAGTGATTGGAAACTTCTTGTTGATGTTCTGGTGTTCCAAATGCTCTAGTTCTCTGTGTAAAGATTAAAGACTGTTTAAAATTGGATGTTGTTCAAAGGATCTCTGAAGGTAAATTTACTTTGGAGAAGATGTTTGATCAAACCTTCTTTGCAGAGCTGTGTGACCCATTTGCAACACGTTTTTCTTGCTTTGACACTGTTGACTTGCTCACATTATTTGCCATTGACCTTTAATTCTCTTCATGTCCTGAGTAATTTCTGATTTATAGCAATAAAATCTTCTTTGGTTTGGGTAGAATGAAGGTTTCATACAAGAAAATCACTCAGAAAAATCAGGCACACCATGAACGTTTCACTTGAAAGCCATAATAATACGGGGATGATATATTCTTTTGCTCTAGCCATACTGCTGGTGCATCAAGTTACTATTGCAAAGAGCCTCCCCCAAAAGTTGTCTCAGCTCTTAGAAGTGCAGACTAAGTGTTCTTGTTATTGGGGTGGTGCTTTGCCCATGAAAGCACAGCCCAGCAAGGCTCCAACTGGACAAAATCCAATTGGCCTCACTTCTTGCACAGAACTAATTTATTCTATCTGAAATCACAAATCTAACAACTGAGAGCTTTCACCATAGGGAGGAGGTTGAGAATTGATGATAAGAATCTCTGGGTTGAGTCATACGTACATTTGTATTGAAATCCAGACAGTAAATGTGCAATACTCTTTTCCAGAACAACCTTACCTAAAAGCTAGTGTGTCATGGATTTGCATGAAGGTGTTGAGCATCTTCTCATTGAAGTTGTCTCATCTAATATGTGTAAGCAAAGTTTATGGCCCTTTTTGAAAGAAATACTATCCAGAAAGAGTTTTTACAAGATGACTGTGTAAGCTGCTAAACAAGTTCTTTGCTTTGGCAAGGATGTATTTTTGTTTAACCTTCAGTTTCAATATGTACAGGTGCTCTCTGTTTGGAAACAGAGAAACACGGAAAAGTCCACGATGATATTGTGGTAGCACCCAGCAGAGATAAAGGAGAGAAAAGAGCTTTATTTTCTAAAATTAAGTGAATTCAGAGTTTTGGGACAAGTTTTCTGAATGCAGGATTACGTTTAGTAGAAGTATATTTATGAAACAAATATGAGGATTGAAATCTGTTAGGTAACCCTCTCCTGAGTAGACACATTGAGCTCATGTGATATTACATAACATCTCTAGAGGAGGAAAGGTGCAAAAAAGCCCTAAAGTGCTTTATAAACACAGGATAAATCTGCTCAGAGCAGACCAAGAAGAAACAGCAGGTATTGAAGGGATGACAGATCTCCTGTGTAGGTGACTTTTACCAAAATACATCCATACTAAAATATGTGTGTATAAAATACTGAATTTATGGAACAAAGTGTTATAATAAAACCCAACTGACACTCTCTCTAATGCTTCACATATCTTGAATGTCCAGCATACAGCAGACTCCTATCCACCACTTCCAAAGTAAAAACTGTATTAGACACAGTATGATGGCTCTCAAACAGATAGGATAAGCTGAGGCAGAGGGGCAGGCAGCAGGAGGGCCCAGAACCCAGGAGAAAAGTGACCCAATAAAATTAGGTCAGTCTAAGTCTTTTTCCTTCTTTCAGGTATAGACACCTTTTCAAGCCTAGTTCAAAATTCAAGTGATCTTGTAGATCTGTCAGTAACTCCTGAGTTACATAATGGTTCAGCTTCACAGCTCCAGGCAGCCTGAGGTGTGGCAGCCCTGCCCTTCTGTAAGAGGCTGCTTTCCCCACTCTAAATAGTTCTGTGAATATTACATATATTTTTTATGCTCCTCAGCTGCTGCAGCACATCCTCTGGGGCTTTAATGTAAACTGCCTGCTTTTGGCTCCTAGCTCAGGGATGTGAATTTCTTTGGGCATCAAGCTCCAAAGAGTTAAGCACAGATTACTTGAGCTTTTCAGGGTTTTAAACTTAGGGTATGAGTTCCACCCCAAAGTTACAGAGAGAATCTGGAGAAAAAGTATTGCTCAGTGACAGGGGAAAAAAGTCTCAGTTCTCCAAGCACAGTTTGCTACTTTCTGTTTCTTCCAATATGGAGCTTAAACCATCAGTTTCTGAGCCTGCCACAAAGTGCAGAGAGGAGAGGACACATAAAATGCTGGCTCACTTTTTGCACTTCCTGGCTCTCAAGCTGCCTCTCATGAAGGCTGCCATGTCAGAAGACTGTGACTTCACCACAATATTTGTTTGCTCTTCCTGCTTGAGAGAATGGATTTTGCCACTGGCAGGAGGATACAGCGAGTTATCTCCATCCTGAACAGCACAGAAGGAGAAGACATAACAGGAATCAAGAGGTTCAGAGCTGGACTTGAAGGTGCTTTAGTTTAGTATGGGAGAACCAGTTAAAATCATGGCACGTTGGCCAAACAGCTATTTGAAAGAAATGCCCATTGTTAACAGATTTCAGTACTTTTCTTATTTTCTGCTTTGGAGGAGAATTCAAACTTATCAAGTGGTTCTTCTCTGGGCTTTGATCCACGTGCTGGTTTGTAACTGATTAATTCCACTCTCACTCGTTTACAGATTAATCAATTCCTCTTTCTTCTCCACTCTATTCTTTGTCTTGATCCTATTGATGTGGACATGATGCACTTGGAGCTACCTCTGGGCGGGCGGTTCATCACAGTAACAACTTCCTAAATCTTGTTGATAGACGGATGAACAGACTTCTGAAAGCTGTACACTACTATGCAGGGCAAAATTCCATTAAAAACAAGGAAAGGAGCAGCCTAGGTAGGTCTCTATGTGCATCAGAGATCAGTGCATGAGAGATATTTATTGTAGAGGGAATTCTTCACTTCCTGTTCTGTTGGTAGCACTGTTGCACACTGGTAACATCTCCTGCTTGCCTCTGGTTGGTACAAGAATGAAATACCACTGTCTTCATTTTTGTTTTTTGGAAACTGCAAGAAGACTTATCAACAAGAACTTTTTCAAATAAACTCTAACACAACCTTAGGGGAGGCTCAAGTTTCTTTACGGGTTACCTGCATTCTTTAAAGATGAATGTGTGATTTTTAGACAAGCACTGACAGGAAGGTGTGGGGAGAAAGAGAAACCTCTCCTGATAACAAGCTGGTATGCAGAACATGGAGTGACATTAGAAGACTCCAGAAGTGGGACTTAAAGAAGTAACAGCATGTCTTTTTTTAATGTGTATTTCTCTGTATTTCTTGACAGGAAGGCCTTAAATCATGAACTTTCTAAACTTTTCAGTGAGATGTGGGATATGGATGTTCACCACCTCATGCCTGGGAGAGACTACACAATTGATGTGCAGGTAACCAGCTGCCAAGTCACATGAGGATTAAGGGCAGTGTGGTGCTGTAGGAAAAGGTGTCTGCAAAAGTGCCTTTCCTAAAAACAATTGCCTGTGCTTTGTAATTTCCATTTTCAAGATCTAACAATATGATACTCTGAGCAATACGGTCTGAAATCAGTGCTGGCCACACTTCGAGCAGAACTAGAGATGTCCTGAGGTCCTCTCCTGGACATCCATGGATGTTTCAGCATGTGAATGATGGTTTGTGTGTACAGTCTGGGTGACTTGCAGTAGGTGAGATAGAACCCAAGTCATTCTTAGGGGAATAAGGGAGGAATTTGAGGAATTCTTGGGTTTTTCCTGGAGAGTGGGGAATAGCACAGAGGCGTGGGTGAAGAGGATTTCAGGGCTGTTGCTTACAGTCTGAGGGAACTGTAAGGGAAGAGTGGGTATCAGATTTGATAGGCAGCCATTTCACTCCTTTCTAGGTCAGTGTAGTGCAAACACAACCATGTGTTTTAGCCACAGATTGCAAGAGGCCACTGAATATTCAGAATCCAGTTTTGTACTCACACAAATACTCACTTTATTCCGATGTTACTCAAATGTTTTATTCCAATGGTGCTTCACATTATAACATATAATGTTCTGTTGCTGATAAACTTGAAATAGGGGTACCAAAATATAGCCAAAATATGCGTGGGAGAAACTTCTCCCATATGGTTTCTCCATTTGTCTTAACAAGGCTCTACTTACCCTTGCCCATGTTAACAAACTGCTACTCATCTTCTATCCTCTTTCCTTGGGAATGCCCTTTATGAAATAGAAATTTGAAAATTGTCAGGAAAGCCTCCTCACAACTGCACAGAGAAGGAGGGTCCTCAAATGTCCTTTTTATTTATTTGAGTTGGGAGGGACCCTTGGCTCTACATTACTTCTGCTTGTCATTTATATAGCAGAGTAACACAGCTGACTATTGATCAGAACTGAATTGTCACATGGATCATCACAGTCATCTTTGAGCCAATGGAGAAATTTCAGGCTCTTACAGTGTCAGAGATTATGGCTTTTTTATTTTATGTTGGCAGTTCTTGTGTAATGTCTCCTCTTGTTTCATAGGAAGACAATTCCTAACAAAGAATCCTGATGGGGTTTGTTTGGATTATTACAAAGGCAGGCACTGTCTCCTCTGAGGACATCTTACTTCCCACATTGTTTTACTCTGGTATTTCTCCCAGGGAGAAGCAGGTCCAGCACAGCCAGGGGACAGTGCTGTTGGGGACAATGCAGTCAGACATCTGTTCCACAATGTAAATGAAGGACTCCTGAAGACCATAAAAACTTTTTCAAGTGAGACCCGTTCTTTTGTTAACGGTGGACATGACATGAAGAATCCATGTTGGGTTTTATGGGTTTGCCTAAAATATAGCATCGTATATTATTTGGATGGTGGTGAGGTGTCGTTAAAGTCGGAACGGCCAAAACGACACAGATATCAGACACAGTCCAGGTGTAAGGTGATCAGGAAGCTGTTTATTGCACTCAAGTGTTTCTTTTATACTCTTTGTACACTAACTATCGTGCCACAACACAATTGGTCAAAAGTCTCAAGCATAAAACACTGTATACACTTTAATTGGTGATACAGAAGACACTGCACGCACTCTTATTGGTGACACTGAAGACACTGTGCATGCTGTGACATGCTATTGGTGACACTATACACATTTTGATTGGTGACCTTTGGTCTGGGCTGCATTACGTTTGTTCCATCCGGCATTACAGTAAATACTTCCTAAAAGTTGTTTAAATTCCTCGTCACTAATTGCCAGCTTGCTGCCAGGTTCTCTGTCAACCCCGACCGTGAGGATCATCAGGCTGTGCGTCATTTGAAGGGGGTTTTCATAACATGGAGGTTACCTTTGACCTTAGCCTCAGGGAGAACATCCTTTTATGCCTTAGCCAAAATCTGAATTTCTTTGTGATTCTTTCACTACAAAGTGAAAAGGATGAGACTCTTGCGGAAAGACTGAAAGAGGTGGGATTTTTCAGCCTGCAAAAGAGAAGGCTTCAGGGTTACCTAATTGTGGCAATCCAGTACCTGAAGAGAGCTATAAGAAAGATGGAGGGAGACTATTTCCAAGGGCCTGGAGTGACAGGACAAGGGGAATGGCTTCAAATTGACAAAAAGTAGGTTTAGATTGGATATTGGGAAGAAATTCTTCCCTGGGAGGGTGGTGAGGCCCTGGCACAGGTTGCCCAGAGAAGCCGTGGCTGCCCCATCCTTGGAAGTGTCCAAGGCCAGGTTGGATGGAGCTCTGAACAACCTGGTCTAGTGGAAGGTGTCCCTGCCCATGGCAGGGGGTTGGAACAAGATGATCTTTAAGGTCCCTTCCAACCCAGGCCATTTTACGATTCTATGTTTCTGTATATTAAAAAATACCTTTGCTCACAGCCTCTAAGCCCTTGCAGACAGCTCTACATCCATAGCTATTCCATGCATTGCTGTTGGACGCTATAGTTCAAGCACGTCCATGAATGTATATTTCCTTCCCTAATTTTTCTCAAGCTATCTCATGTAGGTTTAAGCTGTATTATTCCTCCACTGAAATAATGCCCACAAAGCCTTGTGCCAGCATAGCTCAAGTTCCTAAGCCTAGATCTGTAATTGTGGTGGTCAGATGTGATTTGTTTTGGCAGAAGGTCATTGTTGCTTCAGCACGTGGCTCCCTAAGGAAGATGCTTATCTTTAAAAAGATCTTTAAAAGGTACAGGAGTGATCTGGCCTTGAGTCACTTCGAGATCTACCTCCAACAGCATTCCTGAAAATGGAATTTGACATATAAAGGAATGGCTTTCTCTAAGGGTTATGTCTCAAGGCGTATTCCATGGTATGTTTTTATCATGGCACACTCAGGCATATGGCCTGATCATCAGGATGCGCATGCTGGAAGTTTCTCTTTTTCCGCAGCCTATATTTCCTTATTGGACAACTATGAGACATCAACTGGTGTAGCTGAAGTAGTGACTCCAGAAGAAATAGCTGAAAACAACAGTTTTCTTGATGCTATCTTAGCAACAGAGGTCATGAGGGTAAGTAATGCAGATCTTTTTTTGTCACTGAAAACACTGAATTAAAAAGTAAACTGTGTCTGTGTCTTGGTTTTCTATCCTTCAGCGAGCTCATGAATATCTGCTCAAAAAAACCCTAGCAAAGCCAAACCTTACTGATTTCAAACATCAGCTCTATGACATCTGGTTCCAGCTCTACGCCAGGAAAGAAGGAGACAGGTATGTTTGATGGGTATGGCCACTGTTCATTGCTATGCTGTTTGATTTCGGTAAATATCTGAGTGCTATCTGTTACACACTGAACTGGAAGACATCCTCAGAATGGCTTCAAATTGACAGAGAGTGGGTTTAGACTGGACATTAGGAAGAGATTCTTCCCTGTGAGGGCGGTGAGGCCCTGGCACAGGTTGCCTAGAGAAGCTGTGGCTGCCCCATCCCTGGAAGTGTTGAAGGTCAGGTTGGATGGGGCTCAGAGCAACCTGGGCTAGTGGAAGGTGTCCCTGCCCATGGCAAGGGGTTGGAACTGGATGAGCTTTAATGCTTTCAGCCTGACAAAGATGTCCAAGTTTTAGGCATCCAGTTCAGCTGGAAGGGCTCAGTCAAGCCGATTGGAAGCACCTTTATTGGTGTGAGCCCGGAGTTTGAATTTGCCCTTTACACTGTCATTTTCCTGCTGTCTGAAGAAAAAGTCACCCATGAAACAGTGTAAAATAGATGAGTATGAGCTACAGATGGTTGTCTGGCGCCATGGGCACAATATTGGAACAGCATATCCTGTGCTGCTCAGCACCAGTAGTGAAGACTTGTAGTTAGAGCAGTCCACACTCCTTTTTTTCCAGAAGAAGTGTGGTGTGGTGGAGAAGGGAGGAAAGGATGGGGGGTGGACAGAACCAGACAGCAGAATAAGTTAATGTGCTGTTTTATACAACTCATTTTAAGTAAAAATTGATGACTCACTCTCTTTTGGTCTGCAATGTAGTGTTAAATCAGAAGTGTGCTGCGACTTAGCATCTGACAAACCATGAAACATACTACTGCTCACATTAAAGGCTGAATCAGATTTACATTAAATTTACATCAGCCTTCTCTGCTGCTCCAGCTGGGTCCCTATAAATCTCTGGGGCCTGGTGGGATTCATCTGAGAAAGCTCAAAGAGCTGCTGATGCTTCTGTGAGGCCTCTCTCGATGATTTTTGCACTGTCTTGGAAATCTGGAGAGGTCCCAGTTGACTGGAAACTGGCTAATGTTGTTCCAATTTTCAAAAAGGACAAGAAGGATGACCCTGGAAACTACAGGCCTGTCAGTCTCACTTCATTGCTTGGTAAAGTGATGAAGAAGATTATTCTGGGAGATATTGAAAAACAACTGAAGGGCAATGCAGCCGTTGGTCACAGCCAGCACGGCTTCATGAGGGGAAAGTCCTGCTGATCAAACCTGATTTCCTTTTAGGACAAGGTAACTCACTTGGTTGATCAAGGGAAGCCAGTTGATGTAATCCTTCGGATTTCAATAAAGCTTTGGATACTGTCTCTCCCAGTACCCTTCTGGACAAAATGTCCATTCCACAGCTAGATAAACTCATCATGTGGTGGGTGAGCAATTGGCTCACAAGTCCTGTACAGAGGGTGACAGTGACTGGGGTGACATCAGACTGGGGACCTGTCACTGGTGGGGCTCCACAGGGCTCCGTCTTAGGCCCAGTGCTCTTCTACATCTTCATAAATGACTTGGACACAGGACTGGAAGGGATACTGAGCAAGTCTGAAGATGATACAAAACTGGGAGGAGCTGTTGACTCCCTTGAAGACAGAAAGGCCATTCAGAGAGACCTTGGTAAGTTAGAGGATTGGGCAATCACCAATCCTGTGAAGTTTAACAAAGATAAGTGCCAGATTCTGCACCTGGGATGGGGCAACCACAGATGTAGGAACAGACTGGGGAATGAGATGCTGGAAAGCTGTGCCAGGAAAGGGTCCTGGAGGTCCTGGTCAATGGCCAGTGGGACATGAATCAGCAGTGCCCTGGCAGCCAGGAGGGCCAACCCTGTCCTGGGGGGCATCAGGCCTAGCATCACCAGCCAGGTCAGGGAGGGGATTGTCCCGCCCTGCTCTGCCCTGGGGCAGCCTCACCTGCAATACTGGGGCACCATCATATAAGAAAGACATTAAGCCATTAGAGAGTGTCCAAAGGAGGACAATGAAGATGGTGAAGGGCCTTGATTTGAACGCGTGTGAGGACATTGAGGGCACTTGGTGTGTTCAGCTGGAGAAGAGGAGACTGAGGGGAGACCTCACTGCAGTTACAACTTCCTTGGGAGGGGAAGAGGAGGGGCAGGGACTGAGCTCTGCTCTGTGGGGACCAGTGACAGGACCCCCGGGAATGGCCTGAAGTTGTGTCAGGGGAAGTTCAGGTTGGATATTAGGAAAAGGTTCTTCCCCCAGAGTGTGGTTGGGCACTGAACAGGCTCCCCAGGGCAGTGGGCAAAGCACTAAGGCTGACAGAGCTCAAGGAGTGTTTGCATGATACTCTCAGGCATAGGGTGTGACTCTTGGGGATGGTCCTGTGCAGGGCCAGGAGTTGGACTCGATGATCCTTGTGGATCCCTTCCAACTCGGAATATTCTGTGATATTCTGTAAATGCTGCAGAGACCAAGCCAAGGGTTCCTAAAGCTCTTGAAACTGCATGAGAGACTGCTCAGGCCTTGATACACAGGAGGAACAGCTGAGAGAACAGCTGAGAGAACAGCAACAGAGGACCAACTGAGAGACGCTGATGAATGGGTACAACCTTCCCTGCAGCACCAAGTGTCCTGAAGGACAAGAGAGGCTGAACTCAGGCTCTGGTGAACATTTGAAGGTCTGAGGCAGATATCGGAAATGGTACAAAATCACAGAGCTGTTACATGGAACATCTGCTCCCTGGTCTAGAAAACAACTCTGTGGAAGGTCAAAGGCACTCAGTTTGCTTTAGGTTGGGGAACTTCTCTGCTGCCAAGGGCCCACAGGTCACATTGCAGGCCTTGACTGCTCTTGAGAGTCCTGTTTCATCTTTGCATAGGTGGCAGGGCAGAACTGAGAATAGAGCTGAGCCAGCAGAGCCTGGGAAGGGATCTCTAGCCTGGTCCTGTGGTTCATTTGATTCCATATGTGCACTGCATAGGTGTTCTTCAGGAGTCTGTGAAGCTCCGAGGCACTGGTTGCCTCAAATAACTTCTTCCAGTCCTGCCAGGGAATAGGATAAACTGCTTCTGGGTCAAGAGCCCTCACCCCTTTGCAGCTCATGCTCTGAATAGTCCTGACAGGGCACCACTTCTTGAAGACACGTGTTAGGAGATGTGGGCCCTGGTGTCCCCAGATCCAGGCATTGTAGTTCTTCACAAAGTCTTTCATGCAAAGTGCCATGAACCTGTGCTTGGGCTTAAAGGACAAAAAGGCCCCGTTCAGTTCATCCTCACTCTGTATCCCGAGGGAATTGGTGAGGTTCTGTAAGTTCCTAAGCACAATGAAGTCTGTATCGAGGTAGATGCCACCAAATTTCCACATGAGGACAATTCTGCAGGCATCAGACAGGACGGGTAGGAAATAAGGCTCCCAGCGCCGCAGAGGCCACAAGTACCACTTCTTCAGAGGCGTTCCAGAAAAGAGCTCTGGCAAGTCCAGAGGCCTGATTTCCACGTTGGGGAAGCAGCTCAGCAAGGAGAAAACCCAGTGTTTGAGTAAGGAGGCATTTCCTTTTGCCAAGCCTTTCATGAGCACGACAACACTTGTCCCGGGGTGTGTCCTGGCCGCTGACTCCACAGAGCACGAGAACAGGTAACCTGGGTTAGTCCGCTCCGAGGTCTCCACGAAAAACACGTTCCCTCTGGAAGGAGAGGGCTCCCCAGCATTTGGAAGGGAAAAAGGCACAGAGTGAGCACAGTTGAATTCCCCAGGCAGGTCGTAGAGGCCACTGCCGTAGGAGTCCTCCGCGATTCTCCAGTACAACGTGAGGTAGGCAAAGGATATCAACATGAGGGTGAGGATGAACAGAGCCCTGTGCTTGTGGCTCAGCAGCACCCTGGGCAGCTTTAGCAGAGAGTTGGGCATCCTGAGCATCATCTCTCCGGCCAGAGCCTGCTCTCCTGAGACTGCTGTCGGGACCTAAATGAAAGGAAAGAAGAAACAGACTCTGACAGACATGGCAGCAGACCACAAGCCTTGCTTCACGGTTGGGTGCCATCTTTATAGGTGCACAACAAACTCTGGGAAGAGCATTAGAAGCCTTATCTATCATCTTCCAGAATTTCAGGCCATTCTGGACATGAGATATATATGCAAAATGACCTGGGGCTACTGAAATAGGAGTGCTCCTTATGAACATTCCTGGAGCTCTGTCAACAGACATTGTGTGGAGCTGCTGCCCTGACAGCTGTCTCCCATGATGAGTTTTTTCTCCTGATCCACAACGTGTCCTTCCCCCCAAACCAAACAGTCTCCCAGGCTGTTGAACCAGCAGTTGCTGCCTTTTGAAACCAACCACCCACCCCTACAGAGAGCCTCGGTCATTTTTCATGGCACAGCAGCCTAGTGGAATGGATGGATAGTGGGAGGGGAATGGATACATGGCAACTCTGGACAGACGCAGAAAATTAAGGACAAGAACTGCCTTGGTAAAGCAAGTTTCAAGGCTGCTTCCCAACCCTACAAAGCCATGCTGGATATGACCTGCTCAGCTCTTCCAGTGGATCCTGGTGATGGATATACAGTTCCCCTACCCTCCTGCCCTTACTCCCTCTCTTCTTCTGGCAAAAGGGAGGGATGGAGAGGAATAGATTATTAATGATGCAGCAACAAACAGGTAAATCATTCTAGTGCCTTCTCAGCATTTGCATCAGCATTTCTGCCCTTTCCTCCCCATAAAATGAAGTTAAAGCATAACCAGCACCCTCTGGACCCACCATTGAGGCCCCAAAGGTCGATGCACAAAAGCACATGAAGAAGCAGCAAGGGAAGATTGTGGAATGCCACAGGACCAGAAGAAATGGCCTCAAGTTGGGCCAGGGAAGGTTTAGAGTGGACATTAGGAGATATTTACTCACTGAGTTATCAAGCATTGGCACAGGCTGCCCAGGAAAGTGGTCACCATCCCTGGAGGTATTTAACAGACATGTAGGTCTGGCACTTAGGGACTTGGTTAAGTGGTGGACTTGGCAGAGCAAGGCTTGGGGTTGGACCCAAAGAAAACAAGAGACTCACCTGCCTGTGCTTTCAAAACATCAGAGAATTCACTGCTCAGCTGGACAAGATTTTTAACAGGTCAGTGTCTCTAAGAGCACCTACAACTCTGTGGTCTGGCACTTCCTTCTTCTGGAAAGAA